GAAGACTAAAACTTCTACAAATCTTCTACAATTATGTCAAAAATGCCAATTATGCTACAATTGAAATGGAAATTGGGATATTAAAATTCAATGTATTCATTTTGTAGATATCTTGTAGATAAATTGTAGATTATTTGTATTCTGATTGTTGATGCATTGTTTTCTGTTTTCACAAATCCAAAATGACTAAAGCTTCTACAAAAGCTTCTGCAAAAAACAGTCTACACTTTATCTACAATTTTTCTAATTTTTCTACAATTTATCTACAATTTCTGGAAATATGTCTTCTTCTTCTTCGAGTTTCAATCGACTGTGTTAACCAGTAACCTTCAGCCACTGCAAAAAAAAAAAAAAAAAAAAGAGGTCAATGAAAATAACGATACATTGATGTTTTGTACGTGTAAATAGAGAATTGGTAAATAAGAACTAATCTGAAGATACGGTCGCTAAGTTAAGATTTTTGGGGAAGTAAATGAGAACTAATCTGAAGATTATTGATGCTACTGTCCATCTCCAGGGGGGGGGGGGGGGGGAGAGACGGGTAAAGATAAATGTGGGAAGATACGGTCCTAAATTAGCGCCTAATATAAATGCACCCTTAATTATATCCCTAATTTGAATTATGGTATATAAATGGTAATTTGGTATGCTGAAATGTAATTAACACAAACCTTAAACATTGAGGGTAATAAAGTTTCATATATGGTATAGGAAGGTAAAAATCCCTTCTGATTAAATTGGCATGTTTGGTCCAACTAAAATACGGAACATCACTCCAGTATCAGTACTAGGGATTGAAATTTTGACAAGTGAAACCCCAATAAACTATGTTAGAATTTTCAAAATTCAGTAATTTTGAACCTTTACTAGTACAAAATTTAAACGCTGTGAACGATTCCTCATTTTTTTAACCCTTTACTAGTCTAAAATCTAGAAAAATCAAGAACGCTTCATGATTTTATACTTCAGCAGTTTTAACCCTTTAAATACAATATCCTAGAAAAATTATTGGTTTTTGAACATTTACTAGTATAAAATTCAGGAACAATTCATAATTTTTTAATTCACATTATATATACTTCAGTAATTTTTAACCTTTAAATATAAAATACAAAGAAAAATTACTGATTTTTGAACCTTTACTGGTGCAAAATTCAAGAACGACTCGTGATTTTTTGATTCACATTATACTCAACAATTTTTAACCTTTAAATACAAAATTCAGGAAACAAAAATTATTGATTTTTTAACCTTTACTAGTTCAAAATCCAGGGAAATCCAAGAACGATTCATGGTTTTCAAATTTTTAACCCATAATTACAAAAATCAGGAAAATTACTGGTTTTTGAACCTTTACTAGTGCAAAATTCAGGAATGACATGATTATGAGTTCACACTATACTTCAACAATTGAGAGCTATTGCTTCTGTTATTCAAACTCCAAGAACAATTACTGAATTTTGAACTTATAAATATTTAAAGTTCAGTAATCGTTTCTGAGTTGTTCTGTGCTTTAGATTGGGGTATTGTTGTCCAAACTTGTGTTTTCGCAATTATAAGTGGCTACTTTATCAATACAATTTAAAATATGACTAAGCTCAAATAACCGACCTAAAAAGTGACTATTTACCAAGATCATCCTAGAAAAAGAGATTTAGTCACCCCATAAAGCTCTGTAATGTTATATACGCATGTTGTTTAGTTACTTCTTTTGTTATTCCGCCATAAATATTTTAATAAATTAAGCCTAAATTTATGTATTATTTTATGTGAAATAAATGTAGAATAAGAATGCATTGATTATGATAAAAAGATAAAAATGACCTCACTCTTCAGATTTCTTCTTTTCCTTAAAAAAAAATCTAAGAAAAAATATCTTTTTTATTACAATCCCAACATTACTAATCCTCGCATTATAATTCATTTATTACCATCCATGCAATACTTGTTTTCAAAATAGACGACCCAGGATATGCTCCATTTGATGAATTTTGTGATTCTATTTCTATCTAGTATTTGATAACTTGATTATCAGTTTAACAATGATGAGGAGCTTCAGGAGAACTAATTTGCACCAATTACCTAGAAATCTTTTTGCATTGATTCATAATTCATGGCAACATTTTTTTGCAACCCTTCTTCTTTATTTGAATTGGGTGAATAATGGACATTTCTAAAATCAAACGGAATAAGTTGATTCATGTATCTTACTAACAGGGGCGGATGTAGCATTATCAGGACGGGTTTAATTAAACATAACTTTCAACGCAAAACATAAATTTATGCATAAAAATTTCATTAAAATTGTAACAGACAACTGACAATAGTTTAATACTAAGAACATTAAAAGTTAAGATCATAAAGTTTAAATTCTGAATTTGCCTCTATTTACTAACTAGACCAACTAAAACTATAAAGCTTAACCAAGTTATCGCGAAACATGAACTTTTGACCGGGCCTGGGCAAAGATAACCCGTAGTGGGCTAAGCCCATAAAGTTTGGGTTTCCTATTCCATTACATGCAATCAGCATTTGGGCCTCAGTTGAGCAAGCAGGTTAAAATAGCACGGTATAGCCAGTTTTCGGACTGGTCATTCAAAAATAGCCAGCGTTTACCAAGTCAATAAAAAATAGTCACTATTTTGCTGTAGCAGAGACCGGTCCAGCATAATATACTGGAGTTCGGTGCACCTGTGTATGAACTCCAGCATATTATGCTGGACTGGTATACTTTGCTGGCTCCAGTATATTATGCTGGAGTTCTAGTGTACTTTATGCTGGAACTCCATCATATCATGCTGGAGTTCCAGCATACTTATCTTGGAACTCCAGTATAATATGCTGGACTTCAAGTATACTTATGCTGGAACTCCAACATAAAATGCTGCATATTTTTCGGGTTTTGAACAGTGTTTTCGCTCAGATTTATCTTTACATGAAAAGTGGCTAAATATCGATTACTTTTGAAACTAGGCTATTTTTGAACGATCAGTTGTAAATCTGGCTATTTTTAAATTTCACCCAGCAAGCAGGCTCCCCCTATTGAGACCCAATCTTATGGGACTATTTTATACAATGACAGTGCAAATTTTTTTTGGAATATTTATACCGTATAGTCACTCTAAAAAATAACCCGTAATATTTATTTTTTATATATTAATGTACAACATACATTAATATAAATATTTTATTCAACCAGTGTAAATTTTTGTATATTTGGCTAGCGGATGCAATTATTTTGATCGAATGGCCAAATGTGTAACTTGCCCAATATTTTTTACACTATAAATGTATTTCAATTGTATCTGTTATTTGCTGCTTTTTAAAATTTAAATTACCAATTAAGTTATGCTGGGATTAGTTATACTTATACTGAGATTAATTATGCTGGGATTAGTTATCCTGGTATTATTTCTTATTGGTTGTTTGATATGTTGTATTAATCATCGGGATTGCCAATTTTACTCCTTTATCCTGGGATAACTTATCTTGAGATTACTATTCCACCCTCTGACATGTATAACTCACCTCGATACTTTTTTAATCCTGAGATAACTTATCCCGGGATTAGTAACTAAACAAGGGATAAGACGATACTAAATTTTTATCCCAAAATTATTTTTGCTTATCCATCATGCCAAATAGGCGTGGCCCCTATTGAGGACAAAATGCGGGAAGCGCGGCTTAGGTGGTTTGGTCATGTGAGGGGGAGGAGCACAGACGCCCCGGTGAGGAGGTGTGAGAGATTGACATTGGAGGGCCTACGGAGAGGTAGAGGTAGGCCAAAGAAGAGGTGGGGAGAGGTGATTAGGTAAGATAAGGCGTAGCTTCAGCTGACCGAGGACATGACCCTTGATAGGAAGGTATGGAGGTCGAGGATTATGGTAATATAGTAGGTAGTTTAGAGTGTTCATAACAGTAGTATTGGTACGCAGTCTCGCTTTCTGTTGGTAGTAGGTTTTTATGACTAACCGTTATTTTCTTTCATTGTTAATCACCTTACTATCTTGTTGTTTTTATTATGCTTTTATATGATTTTTTGGTAGTGTCCCTTCTTGTCTATATTTTCATTAATGTGGTGCTTATGCTTTCCTAAGCCGAGGTCTATTGGAAACAACCTCTCTATCCTCACAAGGTAGGGGTAAGATCTGCGTACACACTACCCTCCCCAAACCCCAAAGTGTGAGATAATACTGGATATGTTATTATTGTTGTTGTTGTTGTTGTTATCTATCGTACCAAACGATCCCTTAGTACTTAGAAGTAAAACTTTTGCAATAAAGTATACGTGCACATATAGCTGCTGTATTCTCGGGGAAATGATTAATGGATGCATGCCAGATGACCAAACATGGGTTTTGTGGTGAGTGGATTGCAAAAGGCTGACCTGATGGATAAACGTATGGAGTCTAGAACTAACTTGATGCATAGTTGAATGCAGGGGCGGACGTAGAGTTACGGCACTGGGCATGAATTTATATGTGAAAATCACTAAAATTATAACATATGATAGATTAGAACCCATAAATTTAAAAATCCAATAAGTTCAATGCCAAAATCCTTAAAAGTTTGGCCTTTAAAGCTTAAATCCCGGTTTCGCCTCTAGTTAAATGGTTCCTTCAAGTTTTTGAGCTAATGATGTTTTAGGCAATCAAAACTTATGTTGCGCGAACTCTTCAAAATGCTGTTGCACCCGTGTCGAGTCCTCCAAAAATGCATTACTTTTGGAGGACCTAACATGCGCCCGATAATATATTTGAAAAGCCTAAGCAACATAGATCAAAATACTAGTTGATTTTTGAACCACATGTTATCTTTGAATTTCATAAAGGCTATTGCAAGCATTACCAATTCTCAAAGATTGTTGCTTAAACTCATGAAAAGTCCTCTGCAGCTCCATATTTCAAGAACGAATCAAAAGTACCTGAAATGATGATTCATTTTACATGAATGCAAAAAAAAAAAAAAAAAAAACAATTAACACCACTGAATTTCTCATTCAAAAACAAGAACAGAATAATGAACACATGCACCAAGCCGTACAAGAAAAAGAATTCCACAAGTTCGAGCCGTGGAAACAGCCACTAATATAGATTGTCTACATCTCACCCCTAGGGGTGCGGCCCCTCCACAAATCCTGCGTGAATACGGGATGCTTTGTACACCAGACTGCCCTAGTTAGAAATGAGGGGAAAGCCAATTCCGTGACGCTGAGTGGGGAAAACCACAAAAAACATACTACAAATGACTCCAATTGCAACTGGCAAAGCATTAACCAACTCCTCTATTTGATCTGAAGGTCTTGGATAAAAGCAATTCACAACATTCTGATCAAAAAATGCAACAGCTGCAAAAACAAATATTGACATGAAAGCATGCAGAAAATCAATAAACTTCAACTTATATTTTCTTGCAATTTGATGTGGAATTTTTGCTGATCCATCAATTATCCACAAACCACGTATCGTCGCGAATCCATAGCAAATCTTCCCCTTCTTGTCTGTAAAACTATCAGTAAAACTTAATATGAAACATGATAATCCACATAGTGTTACAAGTGCAACAGTTAAGAATTTTCCAATTTTGTCACATTCACCTTGGTTTGTAAAAATAGGTGACAAAAGTTGAAATGCAAGAACTGAACCAGTAGGTAGAAGATTGGCTAAATGGGCTGTGCTTTGAAATGTTTGAGTTATTGCTTTTTGTATAAGGTTTTTTTCTACTTCTGGTAAGGCTAAGTTTTCTAGGAGGGGAGATTTCTCTTCATAATCAAGATTTTGGGATGTCTCATTTTCTACCTTAATATCCATATCTCAAAGTCTTTACTTACTCTCTTTTTTTTCCCTCTAACTCTTGTTTGTTTGTGTTTCAATGTTTGGTGTGTGTCAAGATGTATTTATAAGTTTTTTGTGTTAAAGTCATAAAACAAACTTTTGTAACAGAAAAATAACTTAATATGTCCACACACCAAAAAAGCCTAAAAAGGTTAAATGTAATCTTTTAAATATAAAGTAACTTGTCACTTCAACTCACCTTACATAATATCCACGGAAAAGCTCGTTTTTTAACTCGCTCAATAAATAACTCATGAAATGTCGCGTGGTGAAAGACATTGGTTATTAGTATGGTCATAAAGTTGTTTTTTTTTTTAGAGGTTTTACGTGGGTATTATGTATTGTGAATTACTGATGGAGCTATACTTACATGACAATTATTTTATACAAGTGGCAACCAATTTGCTCTTATGGTGATCGGATTTAGCATTTTCTATTTTTATTTTTGTGATAAGCATAGTTGAGTTATTTTTCAAAAAAAAAAAATTAATTAATTTTATGATTTTGGTGCAATAAATTGAAAGTTGAATGATCATTCGCGAATTTATCCGGTGAAAGAAAAAGTTACTAAATTTAGATGAGAAAAAAAATGGAGTACAAGATGGTCCCTAATGCCTTGCAAAGAACATAGTAATAGTCTAATACATAAGCAGCTTTCATCAGAATTCTTGATTTGGTGCTTACAGTTATGTAAAGTATGTTAAAAGTTAACCCGTTTTTTCTGTGTGTAAAGTTCCGTAGATTGTTATTTCATGGAAATCCGTTTGGATGTATGATTACTACTTTAGCTATTGTTAGCAAATTTTAACTTTTTTTAAATTTGTATCTTTTTAGGTTTCTTGAAGAAAAGCAAGTTTGAACTTTTAGTTGGAATACCCGCAAGGTTTGGTATGGGTGAGTCATTTCTAGGGGTGGCAAATGGGCGGGTTGGGCTGAATTTGGGCGGGTCAAGATAAGTTAGGTTAATAAATGGATCATTGCTCAACCCAGCCCAAAGTGTACTTGGGCTAAGATGGCTGGGTCAAGATGTGCTAAACAATGTGTCATAACCCAACCCGCCCAACTTGACCCATGTTTGAGAACCATGCACATCTTGCATAAAAAAGCCTTTAACCTTAAAATGTGTAAGTTGAAAAATATTTTGTCGGTGGGGGTGGGGTGGGTGAGTGGTGCAGAAAATAGAAAATTAAAAATATAAAAAAAAAATTTGAGGGGATTTGCGCGGAGGGGATGGTGGTGGTAGGGTGGTGCAGAAAAACAAAAAAAAAATAGAAAATTAAAAATAAAATAAAATAAAAGTAATTTTTTTTAGAGAGGTTTGCGCCGGAGGGGGGGGGGGGGGGGTAGGGAAGGTTGGTTGGGTGGTGCAG